ATTTCTAAGAAGATTAGGATCTATCTCCCTTAATCTAGCTTTAGGAGTATCATAATTAATCCAATGCCGAGCACTACCATCAACATCCTACTCACGAATTAAATGAGATCGTCTTAACCTACCTCCATTTGTACCTCTAAAACTATCCCTACTACCAGAACTACCTCCCACATTATACTGTGACACATGTACACTTCTCCCTCGGTGACTTTCTTCAAATTGATATTGTGCCACACTTTCTCTTCTCATGAACGCCATCTCAGAATTAGAATCTGAATCATCACCCAAATCTACATACCTAGGATCCCCAACCACGGTCTCCTTCAAATGGAATTCTAGTTCTTCCCTCCTTTTTTGTTTATCTTTTTCTCTTATCTTTACTTTCTTGAAGATGTTTCATCATCTGTTCCTTGACTTTTCGTGGCACATCGGGGCAGGGTGTTACATTGCCTCTTTTTCCTGCCAAATGCTCTTTCACTCGTGTAATACCACATTTAATGATATTTTTACAAAACATATATACTGCATCATGTCTATTGGTAGTCATTGTTGCAAAGTTCCATCCGATATCATCACTATGATTGTTGTGTGAACCTTCTACTGGGCTATGTCGAGACATTTTTAATTCTATCACAAAAAAAGTATACGTCAAGTATAAATAATAAATTAATATATTAAATGGATTAAAAAATTAATTTATAGTTATTTATTCTACCACCTGTATGTTTTATGTACTCCAAATAAAATTAGTGAATGGCAAGACACACAGTGATACACAATCTTTATTTTAAATAATTAATGAATTATGAACCCACGAAACATTCATTAAAATGATTAGTGGCTATACTAAAATTAGTTAATTGTAATTAAGGGTGTCAATTCTGACCCGTTGATACGAAACCGACACAAACGATTATAAAATTGACACGATTATTAAATACACATAATAAATAATTTAGACTAATGTTTAATAATTAAAACACAATTAATTTTTTTTTTTGTGTGGATCTTGACTCTTGACACGAATACAACACGATTGACACCGTTAATTGTAATACACATGTAAACTCCATTAAAATAATTAATAAATTGTATTAAAATTATTTAATTAAACACATGTTTAATTTGATCAAAAATATATCTTAAACACACTATTATAAATTTATAATATTTAAAGATCTAAAGAGATAAGACAACATTACGTTATTAAAAAGTAAAAAAAAAGAAGATAAAAGACGGTGAACTTACTGTCATTGCATTATTATATCCACCAAAAAAAAAAAAAAAGGATTGTGGTGGACTGGTGGGTAAGTCATTACATCCACCAAAAAAGCAACCAAACCAAAAAACAAAAAGAGGTGGTGGATTTACCCCTAGGAGACGAGACCAAGACGATGGAGCGACGAAGAATAGGAGATCGAGCCATCTTCAATCGTCCAAAGAAACAACGACCAAAAGAGAGTACAGATCTGGTCAAGTTTTCGAGCAAGGGCTGAAATTTTTGAAAAATCTAAAACTTTTTTGAAAGAGAACACAGATTTAATCATAGGTGCGTTCTTAAGTTTTTATTTTAAAGATTTTGTAGATCAAAACATGGATTTGAGTGAATGATAAAAAATGAGGGAAGTTGTTTGAATTGAGGCTGAAATTTTTAGGGTTGAAATTTGGGTTTTATACTCAAATTTTCGGGTTGTAACGCGTCAAAATCGCCGTTACGAGCATTACAGGCGTGTTACAAAACGGTAACGGCCGTTACGACTGTAAATTTCATTCTCTCCGTTATAGCGGACCATAACGGAATTGGAGTACACCATTACTGTACGTAACGACTGATTTTCAAAAACCTGCTAACACCACACTTCCACCACCACCACCACCAACACCACGCCCACACTTCCACCACCACCATATTTGCATCACCCCTTCCACAAACACCACGCCCACCATGTTATCACGACTACATTCTTATTTTTATTATTTTTTGGGTCATTGTCTAAACAAATTTTAATGTTTTTTATTCTGTTTTTGAAATCATATAATTAAATAAGTTCTAAAACGCAAAAAATACTAAAAATGATTTTCTAAAGTTCTTCTCAAAATAATTTTCAGATACTGCTTTTTAAGACACAAACTAAACAGGACCTAAAGTTTTCATATTATACCTTCAATATATTAAAAACATTTTAATGTGCCCCTTCCGTAAACTTTCGTTGCTTATTCCATTAGCATCAACGGAATGATTTTTGACAGAATAAGTAACAAAAACTAATTGAAGAATAACAATTCAACACTTTCAATACATTGAAGGTGCAGCATAAGAAATTTAATTTTTGAAGTTGTAAAATGAAAATTCTTAAATCTTTTGGGGGTGCAATGTATGATTCCCCCTCATATTTTTACTCGCTGTTTTGTATAGATTTGTTTTACATTTCTTTTTTCTTTTTTTGACCTTTTATGTTTTGGAATGAAAGATATTTACTCATTCATACATATCTTCAAAGAAAGTGAAGAGGGTAAGCTTTGTGGACAGTTCGTGGCATGGCAAATGAATTATTATGTAAAGGTTCAGTTGCCCTCTGCCCTCAGCCCTCCGTTGCATTAAAGCTGTCATCCAATTGTATCAACCTTTGTTTAATTTCATGGCGTAGGACTTGAACAACTTAATTTTGAAAATGCTATTACCGCATCGTGGAATGTACAAAATTTATAATCTCTCTACCATTGCTTCTAACCCTATCACCGTTGCCACCCTTATCCACACCTCATCCTAGTGAATTAGTTAATAAAGACAGTGGAAATTTCAAATATGAAATAATTATTCAAACAGTTTGAGGTAGTTTACATTGGCCATATGAAAGAATTTAATTGGAGAAAACCTATTAATCACCATTAAATAATTCAAAATTATGAGTAAATAGAATTGAGAGAGGAAAATTCTTCTCTCCTAAATTAATTTTTATAATATATAGTATAAAAGTATAGATATAATTTTGGGTACTACTTGACTCTGATAACTTAAATCTCTCAAAATGAGACTAATATTAGGACAATGAAATTATACGTTATTCCAACCTTCATTCAAATACAGTATAAGTGGGATAGAATAGAATATTAGGCTATTATTACTATTAAACGGTAAATTACAAAATTATAACATATTAAAACTCTCTAATCTCTAATTCAACCTTATTTGGTTGCAAAAAACACTTGATATAGTTTTATTTCAAATGTTTTTATAAATAATACACTCTGTCTATACTACTGAGACAGTTCAAACGTCTTAAATTATAAATTTACTATTTTACCCACCAAATAAACAAAAACATTACTAACTAGACAAGATTGATAATTTTTTTGTCAATATTTAATTAGTATTATATTATTCCACTCTTAATCTAGTGTCTTACCAAACACTGGACTACTGTTCCATATTTAATCTTATATTTTATCCGCTTATACACAATTAACTTGTATTATCTAATATAATCAATTTTTTTACAATTTGATGACCAAATGAGGGAATATATTAAAAATGAATTCTCCTCTCGGACTCCTTAATATACCCAACCTAAACACCTACTAAATGATGTTTAAAATTTGGAGAAGAGGAACATTTTGCTTACTGTGTGCCAACGTTTATTAAGATCCACTACCTATTCAATAATTGTGATTGTCAAGTACACATTTGAATCCAAATAGTATTTTCCTTCTAAAAATAGAATAAAATTTTTAAAATGAAACACCTTCCTATAATTAACTTCATTCCAAAAATAAAGTTATTTTTTCTAAAATCGGTCTCCTTTCTAAAGTTAAGTTCTTTCCTAAAAAATATAAAAATGATATTAATTCTCAAACTAGATTATTTGACAATAACCGGAGATTAAATGTGATATTACTATGTCAATTGAAACCTAGAATGAGATACCGATTTTCAATTAATGTTATTGTCATCAAAATGTTTTTTTTTAGGAAACAAAACATATTATATTAAAATAAAGACAAAATTACATAAAAGGTGGTTGGATACAAAAAACATATTGTCATCCAAATGTTTTTTTTTTCTTCAACGAAAAAATTATTGATTTGATGTTGAGCGGTTGAAGTCGAAAAAATGGAGAAATTTTCAAAATGAGATCCAAATCTCTCTTTTGATAGAAAAGAACATAAGGATTTCCTTCTGTTTTCTCCTCTTTTTTATTTGGTCCCTTTCCCTCTCGTGCATGGTGAGTAACGTGCTTTCAATCTTCTCGAGAAGGTGATCAAAGGCTACCCATTTTCCACCCTTCCTTCGTTTCCACCCAAAATTTGCATCTCTTCTAACAATGGAAGCAGTATTGCAGGGTTGTTCTTGTTCAGGGTGGCTTGATCTGTGCTGGCTCTCTACTAAATCACTGTGAACTTCTCTACACAAAAGTTTCAGGAGTTCACATCAGCTTAAACTCATAGCATCATCCTCTTTAACAACGACTCTATGATTATTTATAATAATTGTCGGCGTCGGGTCAGCCCAACAACAGGGCAGTAGCCATTAGAATAACCCCTAACCTCGCCAGCCATGACTCAAGTTCAGCTTATTGCATAACTAAGCGTACACTCGAGCATCTTGGACTCGACTTGCTCATGCTATTGAAAAAGACGAACTTGAAAAATCAAGTATGGCAAAGAATTCTCCAACACAATCAACACCACTTGATAAAAATAACACCCATACACGAATTTTATTCAGATCAGTTTGCCCAGCAATTTTTTTTCCTTCAGCTTACAAGAGAGTATCCAGTATAGTTCTGTCCTACGTTCAATTAATTAGGTGGGCAATAGATGCCCTTTAGAAACTATCCATATTCTACAGTCCCATTTTAGCAAGAATACTATTACGGTGGGCTATGCATGCCCTTTTAGATACTATCCATAATAATGTCTCCAAGCTAACAAAAGCTAGTTAGCGACATGTTGCTGGACACTGTCTGCTTTCTATAAACTCTGAGGAAGGAGAAAGCTTACTAAGTGACACGACACCAAACAGTCCGCCCACGGCCCCGTTCTGCATGGCCATAACCCCTTCCACGATAGGAGCCCCTTGATCGTCCTACCCTGCCTGGACCATGGATGCTACAACCAAGTTGATGCCTTTGAAACTCACCAAATGTCTGAAAGACCAATCAAAAAATCTTGACAATTGGAATCCAAGCAACTATCGGAAAGCCATGGACAGAACAGAAGTGCATTACCTCAGTATCTAATCTCCTTTGTTCAGCTAACTTCACCTTTCCTCTCCCAGACTCGCGATAAAGGGGATTGCAAGAAAGTGAATCAAAAAAGTCATCCTTGCAATAAACAGGCTGTAAAACGGGGGAAAACAGTAATGAGAAGCCAGTGAGAACTTTATTCTTGTTATGAGACACAAATGGTACCTGTCTCGCCTTGTTATCCAAATTTGGCAATCAATCTCCAGCTTCCTCTTGTCGATCACTTTTGTCACTCTCGTTTCCATCCACTTCTTTGTCTTCATATTCAGATTTGTTACTTTTATCAAGAAACTCCCATACCTCCTCCTTGTTGAATTTTTTATTCATTGCCTCAAAATCAAAATCCTCAGTAAAATTGATCACTGTAGGTGACACCTGCAAAGCAAATATTCAATGGTGAGGTTCAAGTACAATTATGACAATGGAAAAAGCCTGCAAGGATATTCATCACGGGGTAGATGATATATGCTTGAGCATACATGCATATGCGATGCTTTTGATAGAGGGGGAACGTGACAGAGATGGAACGAATACCATAAATACCCTTAAGAAATTCTAATCATTGAAAAACTGTGAAAATCATTTTAAAACTCATAAAACCCGACAATATGTTCTTCATTACAATTAACCTTGTTGACAACAAATCTTTTTAAAAGCTTAAGCTACTCACAAGGGAGTGTAACATATACTCGCAAGGGAGTGTAACATGAGTATTTATATTGTTGACATGGGTCCTCACGTGTGTGTGGCTAGATCCCCTCCTTGAGTGGGCCAAGCACACACATGAATAGTAATTCTAAGTGGGAGTCAAGATTTAAACAAAAAACCAACCTAGCTCTGCTACCAGAGAGAGAGAGAGACCTATCTGATATCAGGTCAACACACAACATCATTTATGCTCCTCAACACCAACCACCACCTGGGAATCGCTCTCTCCGTTCCGTCTTCTGACAATTAAACCACCATTAGCATCAGCTCCAAGAAGTAACTGTTTGGTTCAAACTTTTGCTTAGACATCATTATCACCCTTCAGGTACCTCTGATTCTGACGGTAAAAATGTCAAGAGTTTCAAACAATTATCTTCATGCCCTTAAAGGTGGAAAAGTGCTCCCTCAATTCCCTACTGAGTACTGACCCTAAACCTCTTTTAGCCAGCCCTCTAGCTAGCCAGGATCACTCGCAATTGCCAGTATTAAGTTCAAAATGGCAGCAACCCCCACCATACATCCATAAGAGAGGTCAACAGCACGAGGCCAGGCAACCAAACTGAGCTAGCCTAGTTGAAAGGGGCCAACTGGCGCTCCCGTGGGGGGAGGAGAGATAAAGTCCAGAAGAAAACCCCTCTTTTGCCAAAAATCAGCCCTAAACAAAGAGAAATATGGGCAAGATTTGACTAAGGGCAATTGGTTCAGGGGCAGAAGTGTGCATTGTATTACGTGAGACAGGGCCTGAGGGCTCGTAGTACACAGATGGGTTGTGGTGGTAAGTACAAAGAAGTGATTATTTCCTTAGCAAGCTAGGACCCAAAGCCCGGAGACAAGAGAATCAAAAAAGGGAACAGAAAACGAGGAAGAGAACATTGTTTTTTTTTTTTTTTTGATAAGAAACAAATTCTTGTATTAATTAATAAGAAGTAAAAGATAAGTTATAAAAAAAAAAAAAGTTGGATAAGATTTCAAACAAAAACAAGTACAAAAAGAGCCTATAATGGTGATGCAGCAAAATACTCATATCAACTGTAAATTGCTATTTAGAAACAAAAACGACAATTTCTAATGAATTTCTGGCAATAAGATAACAAGAAAAAGCATTAGAATCAATGACGGAACAAAAATGTATGAATTTCCAAGGCAAATAGACCAAAAAAAGACGCATAAAGATGTAATTATACTACAGTCACAACAACCCTAGTATTGTAGCCCTTCAGGACTATTTTAAAAAAGACTAGGACCATAAATATTACCTATAAGACACATCAAACATAAAATAATGCAGAAAATAAAATCATTATAAAAAAAATCTACTAACTAAAACTCAAGTTAAGCCTATTAATGGGCCCACGTGTTCTTGATAAGCCTCTTGGATGGACCCGCATCAACTCCTCCGGGTTGGAACAAACTCAACTCCAGCAAAAGAGTCTCCACAACTTCATCGTAAACCTTTAGATCGATCCCCTTCAACTCCTACTCGGCAATCCATGTACTTTCACTAGTTGGTTTTGACCACTTAAAATCAACTCTATTCAAACATTTTGTGATTGGACTCATCAAAGAGCTAAAATTCTGTATAAATCTCCAGTAGAATGAAGCCAATCCATGAAAATTGCGAAGATCACCCATAGATTGTGGTATTGGCCACTCCTTGATCGCTCTTACTTTCTTTGGATCAGGCTGTAAGTCATTTGCTGAAACAATAAAGCCAATAAACACAATTTCGTGGCACAAGAAAGAGTACTTCTTCCAATTTATAAGAGTTTCTCCTTGCAAAGAAACTCTATTACTTGACATAAATAGACTAAATGCTCCTCTTGAGTCCAGCTATATAATATGTCATCAAAGTAAACAACAACAAATAATCCCAAGAAAGGTTTAAGTACCTCTGTCAGAACCCGCATAAATCTATTCAAAGCATTAGTCTAATGGTATCACTAATCACTCGGAGAGTCCATCCTATCTTTTGAAAGCGATCTTCCACTCGTCACCATTTTGCATTTGAACACACTTGGATTTAGAAAACATGCCAAGCTTGTAATCTTGTTTATGCACGACTATCCACACACATTATCCATGAGCCATCCTTTATGGGCACAAGTAAAGCTAGGACAACACAAGAACTTTTCCTTTCACGCACCAAACTCTTTAACTTGTTTTTGCATTTCAACCCTATGTACAGTTGGCCTTCTGTAGGTTGGTAGATAGGGAAAACTGCACCCGGTAGTAGATCATATGCATGTTGGATGTTCCTCATTGATGGCAAGCCTTGCGGTAACTCATCAATAACCAGCTCCTAAAAATCTTTCAAAAGTTGTTGATTTCGAGTAGATAATCCTGCAATTCAACCAGTTGGGCCTCCGTTACACCCCTACCTACCGGTGCGTAGACAATTCTCAGTTCTCTACTCTCAACTTTAAATTTTTGGGCTGACAAAAGCCCATTAACCTTATTAGCATTAGGAAAAAAGGTAGCTTCTTCCTTCAGAGGCTGCAAAGTTAGGTTCTTACTATCTTTTAGGAATATATATTGGCTTTTGTATAATGAACCAGGTCCTTATCATACACCCACAGCCTCTCCAAAAGAATATGGCATGCATCGATAGGCACCTCATCACGCCTAGCCTCATCTTCAATATTATTCCCCACATTGAATTTAACCAAGCAACGAGAAGTAACCAATACCTTATTTACTTTTTGAAACCAAGCAAGCTTATCAGAATTATGGTGTTTTGCAGTCAATAACTTTAAGTTCTCTATGGCCTCCTTTGAAACAAAGTTCTCACACCTACCCCCATCGTAAATAACATTGCAAATCTTACCACCACAAAAAACTTGCATACAGAAAATATTATGTCTCATCCAATCCTCCTCTTCTTCAATCTTGAGTGTTGTTACCACTCTCCGTACTACCAAAGACTCCCCTTGTATCGGAAGAATTTTAACATTTTTCCTCATCATCCACAAATTCCTCATAAATAGGTTCCACAACTTCCTCTTCCTTATCTTCAAGCTCTACTAAGTTAACTCTTTGTTGTAGGCATGCAAAATATGTGTGCCCTTTTTCTCCACAAGCGAAACAACGAACCCGTGAAGCAAGTTCTGTCTTTGAACTGTTAACAGCAGCAACATATTTTCCATCAAACTTTACAATTGTCTATCCTTTCTCACCTTTGTTTTTTTTTTTTTTGATAGGAAACAAATACCTTATATTAATAGAAGTCACAAAGTACATTGAAAATTTTGGATAAGAAATCCAACCAACGGAAACAAAATACAAGCAAAAGAAAATAGAAAAAGATCATCAAACACAAGAAGCTTCCCATCCTACCAAAATAATAATGTAAGGATTCCTTTGACAGCCGTAGTAAGGCTGATGCTAACATCCTCGCTTCTATTCTTCGAAAATTCTTGCATTTTTTTTTTCCAAATAATCCAGAAGAAGACTATAAGTACACAATTATACAAAATCAGTCTGTCCAAAGCCTTTCAAATCTTCAATAAAAAATGAAGTGGATGACAACAAGGCATCCCACTCAAGCCCACCGAGGTAAACAACTTATACCTAAAGACCTAGCAATATGAGAATGTAAGAATAAGTGATCAATACTTTCAAAATCACCTTTACACATCACACACCATTGAGGAAAAAGACAAGTTTTAGGTCTCTTTTTATGAAGCATATCATTGGTATTAATCTTACCATGTGCAACAGTCCATGCGAAAACTTGCACTTTAATGAGTACTTTAACTTTCCAAATCATAACAGCGAGCAAGAATACAATGAAGAATCTTCAACAATAGATCCAAAAAAAAAACTTACAAGAGAATACTTTTGACGACTCACAAGCCCATCTTCTTCTATCAATAGACTCTTGACTCAAAAGAATCATTAAGGACATCAATCAAAGAAATAACCTCTCCCATATCTCCATCATCAAGATTTCTACGGAAATCAAAATCCCACGAATATGGATAAACATAAGATCGAATCGTAGAAGCAATGGATACATCATGATAAAAAGATAATTGATAGAGATATGGAAACAAAGAAGTCAAAGGTGACTCCCCCACCCATAAATCCACCCAAAAATGATTCATTACCCCATTACCCACCATAGTCTGAACATTTTGTGAAAGGGTAAATTACACTAATGGTCCCTAAAGTTTATACTTATAGTTAGTCACACTTTGGTCCTTAAAAGTTTTAATTTCGTCAATTTGATCCTCAAAGTTCATACATTTGACTAACGTAGTTCTTGGCACTAACTGCCATCAAAAAAAGAAACGGAAAGTATCATGTGCCTCGCATAGGGGAGTGTTGATGGGTGTTTTCGTCATTGTGCTTTCAAAATATAGAGCAAAAAAGGAAACTTAAAATAAGGCACAAAAAGCACACCATTACTCTCGACACGCCACTTTTCTTACCTGCCATTAATACAATCCCAATAGCTCACCGCCCACTCTCTCGGAGCAGAGATGAAGAACAACACAAGAGTTTTGTATGCAAATAGGTTGAGAGAATTTGAGATGGATCACAAAATCAAAGAAGAAAAACAAGATTAAATTCAAATTTAGGCAAGAGATGGTGTGTGAATAGTAAGAATCCAAATGGGTTTTGCTCCAATTGTTGGAGGTGGTGTGTGAACAGTGAGATTTGGAACAACATCAAAAGCTGTAAAAGTAGGTTGCTTTGTTTTGTGTTGGAGGTGAAAGGTTAGGAGAGGGAGGTGGGTTAATAAGAGGCCAGAAAAGATTTACTAGGTACATTGAAG